ACCACAATATATACGTGTTTCAGGATGAAAGGGTTACAGTTGTAAACAAGTTTTTCAATTGCCACACTTTATTAAGATAACCAGTATGGCCTGTTCCAGGCCCCAAGATGGTAATGTGTGTGCAGAGATTGTGAAATGCCAGGTCACACCCATCTTGTTTTCACGATGCCCCTACTATCTGAGAGGCTGGCACAGGCTAGATAACCAGAGCACAGCAGGTCAAATTCATGCCTTCCAAGGATTATTAATTTTGTAACAGCAGTGTCATTACAATGTTCAATGAAAACATAAGTGTACACTTAATTTTGTGATATTACTTTCTGCCCATCCACAATAATAATGTTAAAAGTAAAATAATAAATTTTATTATATAGACGCGAGTGTTTTACTGGAAAATATACCACTCGTAAAATTCATAAAAACTTCATCTGGGACCCGAGTGGTTTATTTTCCATGATCTCACATGTGAGTTTATTGATGACGTAATTTTGGTAATTTCCCTCTATCATTTTATCAATGTCATTTTGTCTATATAATAAAAAGAACATTACACGGCGGCTTGAAGGTATGAATTTTATTTTCTCGTGGCCAAAACAATATTTTACTCACTTGCTGCGCTCGTTCGTAAAATATTGTTTTGCCACTCGAAAATAAAATTCATATCTTTGCGCCAGCATGTAATATCCTCTATATACAAAATTATGTAATAGTGGTGTGCCAAACATATTGATTATAACCAATCATTGATTAAAATCTTTCAGCTGCACTAAAATCAATTATGGAAAATAATTTTTATGGCAAAAAAAATAAAATTTGTTGTTAGCAAATAAACTCATATGTGACGCAATTTTAATGGTCTCAAAAAGAAGAAAGAAAATTTGATCACTCTGAAAGCACAGAAAAATTCTACATTAACTGCAAGTGAGAATCAAACTCACGACTCTCTGAGTTCTAGGTCAGATGCTCTAATCACTGAGCTGCTATGCTGAGAAAACTCGAATCCACTGATATCCCTTTTCTGATACATTTTGTATGTTTCTGTTATGTTCTAAAACATGGTACAACAGCCATCTTATTATTAAAATGGAATTCTTACAAAGAGAATTTTCAGTTATACAGTAATCAATAATACAATTGATCGGATGAGTCAATCTGATTATTTCTGATGATTAATTATGAAATCTCAGGCAATTCCCAACAATAATAATATGTAAGAAAACATGCATGGAGCAATCTAACCATTTGCATACCTTCATCATCTCTTTGGACAGTTCTTGCATTGTTGCTTGAATTTCAGGCACCTTTACCAACTGCTGCATGTATCGCATTACTTCACTGCTCTTTTCGAGTGAACCAGCAAGTCGTAGAGTTGCTGTGTATGGTCAAATTGGCAATTCAACTTATCATCATCATCAATCTTTATTTATACACGAAATCGTATTATTTTACATGGTCTTCCTAGTAATCGTGCTTTAAACTAGACTAAAATACTCTAAGGAACTATTGACTATAATGTTAAAAATACAAAAACTTACATTATTATTACATTATATATTCTTACATAGTCAATGATGTGGCACAGTAGCAAGGACATAAGGCTTATTAGAGCTGTAAGGGTTTGCCATTACGTTCTTCCTCGAACAATGTATAATAAAACAATGTTAGATTTGGTTTTTGTGTGATAATTCTCTGAAATAATGTTAATGTCTTGGTAGGTGCTAACATGTCTGCCTCAGCCAGTATGTAACACTTTACACTGACATTGATGACTATAAAGCACCGCTTACAACCCATGGACTTATGCATTTTGGTAAGGAGTTTAGGAGGACTTAGAAACGGAGGGGTTTACATGTATATTTGAGGGGGCTTATACCTAGAACTCAAGGTAAAAAACGCTTCAAAATACATCATTGTAAGCTACACTAGCTTGCAGTTTAAAATATGTTTGCATTATTCTGGTTTTTGATTAACTTAGATAGCCTCAAAATGTCATAATAAACTGAATTCATTTCAATATCAAAAAAACCTTGTTAACAATCAAACTACAAATGACTCACCGAGCTGATTTTTCATACTCATCTCCACAGAGTTCAGTTGTGCCTTGGAAGCATAGATTTTGCTTACAGCTTTCCTTGACTGGACAATTTCTTTGCCAAGGATCATACATACATCTTTCTGTCCCTTCTTAGCAGCATCTCTCAGAGTTCTTGTGGCCTTCTCTTCCTCCCTTTGAATGGCTGCAAAGTGCATTTACAAGATAAACTGACGTCAGACTGATTCAAATTCTTAGCAAACTACAACTTTTTGTGTAAAAAAAAAAATTTGCAACCATTTTTTAAGGACTTTTCAAGGAGCACCTACAACTACATGTAACAGATCTTGAGTAATTGTGCACCCCTTGGTCGACATAGTGACCGATACATCGCCTGACACTCGGTCAACATATTGGTCAATATATTGACCGAAACATGACTGACCCAGTCGACCTGCTCACCAAGTGATGTCAGCCGCCATATCAACCCATATATCGGTGGAGCGTAGGTCGATAGTGGTTGTCCGATTGTCGGTCGACATGTCAATTGATAGGCTACTGACATTCTGCAGAATGATACCTTACTGATACTTGCGTACTTTGCGGACTGTGATCTGTGTCGCAGATGTAATTTAACCCAGGTTAGTAATGTCTGCAGAGAAGCACAGATATCCCTGTTCTCCTCCCCATCTCTCAGAGGCTTCTTTGCATTAATTGTTGTACGTCACTCGTGAGTTTCACAGGTTTTTACAGAATACAACTTCCCTGTTTATTAGAAAATGACATTTTGACCACTTTCGTTATGGTATCTCGTGGGAAGAAAAACCATATGGACCTTACGAAACTATGACAGCAACCGCAACAAGAACAACAAAAAAGTAATAGGTTTGATGAGCAAAACAACAACTCTGCATATGCATCACGCTTTTTTGAACTATCTTTGCAACGACCTGAAATGACCAAATTTTAAGTTTACTTGAGAACTGGAAGGGATCGGCAAGGCAATAAATTCTACCATCTATGTCTGAAATCCAGTGCAGTCACCTTCCTTCAGCTCCAAACAAAATTCCCATCTTTTGAGTAACATGGCGAAACAGGATAATCGCGAAAATGGACGTTGACGTTGTCAGATCGTAAGGTCCATAACACTTCCAGTCACCCATACTACATGCTTTCAAGACGTTAGATGCTTTTAAAAAGACCCTAGAGCACATAAAATTATATGACAGTATATCAATATACCACCGACAGTCAACTGATATTCCACCGCCAATTAAAGGTCACCATATCGACCGAGTGTTGACCAATATACTGGCCAAATATTGATACTCACCTGATATTATATATGGATCGATATGTCGACTGACATCACGTGGTCGACAGGTTGACTGAGTGTTGGTCGATATGTCGACCGACATCACGTGGTCGACAGGTTGACTGAGTGTTGGTCGATATATCAACTGACATATCGGTCGCATTTCGGTCGACATATTGACCAAGTGTCGGTCGATAAATCAGTCGCTGTGTCAACCAACAGGTGAACAAATTACACAAGATCCCAACTAACAAGGAAAGTAATTTCACAGATTTTCACAAAAATGCACATTCCCAGTCATCAATCGTATGGAAACCAGGCTCAACTGTATGCAGTTTTATACTAGAGGAATTCACTGACACAGGAAGTTTTGTCTGGATCCTGGTCATTCATCTCTGTTCTCAGTGCTGTAAACTCTCCCGGATAATCTGGGAGGCTCCAGATTTTCAACCGTATCTCCCGGTCTCCAGATTAGAGTCTGAAATCTCCCGGATAATCGTCAAAGTTTGCCATTTCTTGTAGACTCGACTCTCTGACAATGAAATTTCAAATACTTTGCATTGTTTGAGTGATTATTTTCTTAACATTGAACGTTTCCTTATAAACTCCAGTATGCCAATGAAATATAAGCAATAACGTGATTGGTGGCAAGTAAACTAATCAGGTCAAATGTTACAATTCCAGCAACATCTTTTTCGCACTTTTTTTGGAGGAATGACGTCATGCGCTGTACATTATGACGTCATCCACCAATTCTCAATATCTGAAGACTAAAAAGTTGACAGCCCTAGTTCGGGATTGAGCCAAATGAATGCAAAGCTTGCAGTAGCATATACCTCTAATCTGCCTATCAAGATTTCTGTTTTCTTTCCTTAGCCCTCTACACCATTCTTGAACCTGGAAAGAGATTAAAAAGTCCAAAATGTAGATAGATACATCTACTCTGTACACTGTATACTGTGAATGTATGAGTAGACCGTTCATTAAGATTTCACCAGAGTCTGCAGCAGTCATGTCTTGAGACGAAAGTTTTGTTTTGTGATAACAATTTACAATAGCAGTTTGGCATACGCTTACATTGTATAAAGCTTGAATTTCTACCTGACTATTTTTTTGTTATAATTCGATCAGTGAAGACGATAGACATGAATTCAAGCTTTATTAAACGAAGTAAGGTTAAGTTCTATCTAATCATTTTATACAGCGTCCCATTTTCAATCAAAACTGGCCACAGTTTAATCTCTTTAAGGTGGCCGGATATTCGGCAATTGCTTCAATATGTTACAAGTAAGGTTGAGATCGATAATTAAAGGTAAGAGCCTGAAATCGAAACTGTACGTTGCAAGCTTACAGGTATGCACCCGACGACTGGTAATGTTTCAAGTCATCTTTCATTAAAACCCTACAGACCTGTTCCTTTGGTGTCTTTTGAGGAGTTTGTCCAAATAATCCCATTCTGTAATCCAGAAAAAAATAACAGAATTATTCCAAAATAGAACATGTACTCAACATTTCTTTCTTTTGCCTGCCCTTGTGTATATCTTGACGTCATTGACTACATCAATTTCGCATCGGAAATAATCGGAGAGAATCCGAAGAGTTATCGATTTAACGTCTATCTTCGTTTCGTCAGTGGTGGAACAGAAGTGCAAGATGCCGGGCGTTTCTATATTTAAAGATGTTCCCCTTGTCCCGACAGACCATGTCTTTCACGTTAACCAACAATACAAGGACGACACAAATCCAAACAAAGTAAATCTGGGGATAGGAGGTAAAGTTTCTCTTTATTTTTGTGGAAAGTCGGGTCTTAAATTCTGACCGTCACGCGTTTGATCCGACTGAGTATGTACCCGTGATCTGGAGTCGTTGTTTACAGTCGTTTACTAGTCTTTACTAGGTCGTCGTTTTCTAGGTTGTCGTTTACTAGGTCGTCTCTTTCTAGGTCGTCGTCTTCTAGGTTGTCGTTTTCCAGGTCGTCGTTTTATGGGTCGTACACGTAGGTCTTCCTTTTCTAGGTCGTCTTTTTCTAGACACCCGTGATATAATGGACGTGGCCAACCTCACAAATTCATATTTTTACCTTTTTCTCCTGCTATTTTAGCTTATCGTGACGACGATGGAAATCCCATGGTGTTGTCCGTTGTATCCAGGGTTGAAAAACAGCTGGCTGAGGAAATCGCAGCCAAAACGTTGAATCATGAGTACTTATCCATCGACGGTTTAGGGTCATTTACTCAGGCTGCCTGTAAACTTTGCCTGGGAGGAGACAGCCCCGCTATAGCAGAAAACAGGGTACGTTACATTTTTATAAGTTCATCGTGTGTGAATAGCGATAGCCTTTGACGAGGAAAATCTCAGATGCCATATTCCGACCTAAAAAGTTACATAATAACATACCTTATTATAGGAAATTAACACTCCATAAAATTAACGCGAATCGTTAAAATTCGCGTTAATTTAAGTCGCATTAATTTTGTTGAGCGTTAATTTCCGCGACGTTAATTTAATGAAGTACAGCGTTAATTTCCGCGCTCTTAATTTCCAGTATTTTAACCCAATTCTCATTTGTTGCCCCTATTCATTTCCTTCAGAAGTAGTGGGGAGAAGTTGATGAAATATCAAGCAAATTCATAAATTGTGATCATGTCCGTATTTGTCATGACCACTCCGTTTTACAAAGCATTGATATTACAAGGAGAAATTGGATGCTGATCACTCTTAGGGCGTAAAGGGTTAACATGGCCCATTTTGATGTTGCTCGTGTTTCCGGAAGAAGCGGCAACAGACACATATTTGCAGATAATTTATTTGATATTTTATTGTGTTCTGAGTTGGAAATTATAGGCTTCCTCCATGAGGCAAAGCAATGGACAAGTATTTAAGTTAATTGTCTCAGTCAATCAACTACCCCAGGCCACTCCGAACCCCTGTTCGTTTGGTATCTTTTGTTGCAAAATTCTGGTGGAATCCCGGAAAATACTTATTATTTTTAGGAATCAAATGCACTAGGAATTTAGGCAGTGCCTTATATTACTGGATAATTTGCTAATTGCACTGCCATGAAGGTTTCAATATTTTATGATGTGCACATTGCCATTTCCAATATTGTTTTGGATCCTTGAATAAGATGTGTTTGGGACTGTGAATACAATATCTGACATCATTAATGGTTATACCTTTTTGAGATGGAAATGAGTCACAACAGCATAGTTACGAGTGTTTGTCTAGTTGAATTGCATTTTAAGTAAATGACAAAGCAGCACAAAAAAGTTGCAAAAGTTAACCAAAAAAACACATGCAAAGATTAGCAGGATCATTGTGGAGCTCAAGTGCAACAATACGGTGTATCTTGTATTTGGGTTCTGTTGATGTCTATAGCATGTTTGTTTTTTTGTATTATTGTTATGTGGTATTAAAGACTATGCTCCAAGGGGAATTGCAGTATTGATTTCAATATTGTGTGGGTACCTAAATTAAAATGTAACACATTGCAAAAGTAGGTCTCTAAAGACCCTGATGCACTGCTAGATAGGGTTTATCAGATTATGCCTGCATGATATTGAACGTGATACTATACTTGAAAAATAGAACGTATATTCTGGTTCAACACTTGTCTCGTTTTTAAATATGATCGGATGTTGTACATGTATGGTAGTTCTTAAAACTGTATGCTTATTCCAGCTACACCAGCTACAATGTACAATGTTGACAAATGTACATTCGTATATGGACCTGTATAGATTACAACCTCATATTTCCCAGGGTCCTCTCCTACTCCTGTCCCCTGCTAGTAAGGCTGAATACTTTCAACAGTCCCTCAGATGACTTTTACACATGAAGACTCATGACCTGTGCATTTTGGCATTATGCCAGGCTTTCAAGGACAGTACATGTACTTGATGTTAATTGCATTATATTCTCTTAGACCCTTCTGATGGTGAATAGCTCTGATGAGTTTGTTATTGGCTGTGGATTTTAATCTTTCTTATCCACATGCCGGTGATTGTTTGGTTGACAGGTGTGTGGAGCTCAAGGTATTTCTGGTACTGGGAGTCTTCGTCTTGGAATGGAGTTCTTGAAGAAGTTTCATTGCTCAGATGTGGTGTATCTTTCTAAACCCACGTGGGGTAAGTTTCTGTGGCAGAGTTTTTTTTTTGCAATCTTGAAAACAAGAACAACTCCCAAGGCACCTAGTTGAACTAAAGATTAAGGTGGATTGAGCGAATTTCTAAGAGGTTATAATTACAGTGTACAATGTATATCAATATGTTGTAGTTATTTTTTTATTTTCTTTAATTTTTGTTTTCCCTTTTGTTTTTGGATATGGCAATGTACATGTATGCTAATGAATTTGAAGCGAAGGAGAAACAAAAAATAACTGAAAGAAAAAATTAACTACAATGTATATTAAAATCTGAACAACCACAGTAATTGGCCATTAAGGTATTAGCACTTTTGGTTTGGAAATGCAACTTCGTCTCATACAATGTAGTAGTCATTTCATGCAGATACATGTATGTGTAAGAAGACAGACAGCTTTAGCCAAATTGTTGTGATATCGAAATACATGTACATTTTCATGTGCATGTATGTTTAATATTTTTAGTAATATTGTGTTGAGGGGCTCTTTTAAGTTATGTGTACGGTGTAGTGTTTTCTATGGGTTATGTTAAAATAAAATATTATGGATGCCTACTTGTAATTTTTTTTATATGAATTCTCGAGACATGTATTATCGTTTTTATGGCCTTTAAGTCTCCAGTTCATTGAAACTTAATAATACAAAAGAAAAGAGGGCCTCCAATGGCCTTTTTTCATTGGAAATTTTGTGTTGACCATCAAGTGTCCCTCATTACTCTTGAGTATGTATATAAGACTGTATTAACATGAACAACAAAAACTACTACATGGTGTATTAATTTTATTGTTAAATCATTCTGTTTATTTCATAATTTTATGATGCATGTGATAGTTAATAATGCCAGGGTTTGCAAATTTTATTGATGAGTGGAGTCAGTGTGACTTCTGCTTCACAAATTTTGGAGTCATTTTGGAATATTTGGAGTCAAGTACCACAATGAAAAACGCCATTTTCAGACTTGCCAGACGGTCCTGGCAAGTGGCTCCCTGTTTGTTACCGAAAATTTCTGGAGTCGAAGTGACTCCCTCCGTAACCTCCATGGAGTCATCTGAACAATTTTGGCGTAAAATACTCCAAATTTGGCGTATTTGCAAACCCTGAATGCTGTTTGTGGGAAAAGAACCTTGGAGACAGTATGCATTGTGTAGTAGGAGACTTTCAGTGGTGTGACACTAGGTACATTTTGAAGGTCAAAAAAAAATAATTTTGTCCTACAACATACATGTACATATACACTCATACAGTATGTCTATTATGCTTGTGTCAATGTGAATATGTTAATAATATAAACCAGTCTTTAATGTATGTGTACATCAGTTTTGTGTGATCTTGTTTAGGGAACCATAAAAAGATGCTGCTTGGTACTGGCTACAAAGCTGAAAATATTAAAGAATACCGTTACTTTGATAGTGCTTCAAAATCATTGGACTTCAGTGGAATGTGTGAAGATTTGAAGGTTATCATGAAATCATTATTTATTTTAAACATAATAACATTGTATCATGCACATAAACTGCAAAATTACTGGATGCATTAAACCCATTGACAATAGTTTATAGATGGGTGTGGGGAAGGAGCCTGGTAAAAATGAAGGGAGCTGCAAGCAAGTCTAGAAGGTAACCATGACAACCCTTAAGTTTCAGAAGTTTGGGCCCTGTTTAACAACAAAAAACTGCGTTCAAAATGTTAAGTGTATTAACAGAACCTTACAGGAATAGCCCACAAAAGTAACCTATAACAGAACATGGTTTGCTTTACTGATAAAATAGATGCATTATTAAACAATTTACAATTGTATTGTAAGTTGCATTACAAACCAGGTTTCAGTGTAATTTGATCAATTTTCAGAATGCTCCAGAAAACTCTATTATCCTGCTTCATGCTTGTGCACACAATCCCACTGGAGTGGACCCTAACCAGGACCAGTGGAAGGAGATTGCTGAGATTATGAAGGTATCTGGAGATAATCCTTGCTCCAAGAAACAAGAGTTAGTCTTTCAGTGTGCCTTTTTTCTTAATAAAACTATTAGATTTCTAACAGGATTGTTGAGCAGGCTTTGATGAGCAAGTCGTATGTCATTTTAAAAAAGATGCTTTCGCTGCAGTCACCATCATCCTTGCTAAAGTTCGTTATTATAGAGAAGGAGAAGTGTGATGTCATGTTACCAAGGTAGGAAAATTTCTGAATCACACAAATAGGGAGCTTAAGAAACGATGACAGCAACAAGAACGGCAAACAAGCAACAGGTTTACAGTGTGTATATAAACAAAATAACAACTTTGCATGGCATCACGTTTTTTTGTACATTTCTTAGTCATCACTGTCCGACTGTGGGCCATGAAACTTCCTAATTTCACATGCCCACTTATGGAATTGGTGAACACAACACAAATGTTTGTTTTTCTTTTTCGTAACCTAGATACGGTCCTTTTGTATTCAACCCCAGAAAATTTTGCCAACATTTGACAAATTAAATGAAATTGAATGAGATCAATGAAGTTTGAAACAGTGCAAATCCACTTTTCAAGTGATGTTTTCAGTTTGTTGTCATTCAGAAATTTTGCTACCATGGCAACGTGACGTAACGACTTCTTCTCTCTATTGTCATGAGAACTTCAACTTCCTCGAACCTGTTTTTACTGACAGCTACATGTATGATTAGTGTAGTATAATTTGTTATAGGATGGTCTTGATAATACTGTAATATATTTTGTGTTTCCTCTCAGAGACAAAATCTATTTCCACTAATTGACATGGCTTATCAAGGTTTTGTGACTGGTGATCCTGATAAGGATGCCTGGGCTGCTCGTTACTTTGTTAGCCAAGGATTTGAGGTCTTAATTGCACAGTCCTTTGCAAAGAATTTTGGTCTATACAGTGAGTAGTATTTTGGTGTGGATTCTCTGTGTTATTAAAATATTTACTTGCAAGTGGAATGTTTGTATGTTGTAGGCTCATGTAACAATATCTGCTCTCATGTTAAATCCGGGTTTTCCTTTGTTTCTTTTGAATAATTCAGATTAGGAAACAATAATTCTTAAACTTAGAATTAAAAGGAAATTCTGAATCAAAGTAGGCTAAATACTGATGTAACCCGAGATCGATTTTACCTGCAACACTCTTTTCCTTTGCTAACCCACTAATCCTGAGGTCTTGTACACAGGCTAAGTTGTGAGCAACAAGAATGCATTTCTTGTAAATTGCAGATGAAAGGTGCGGCAATCTCTGTGTGGTGACAACTGATAATGAAACAGCTGAGAAGATTCGCAGCCAACTCAAGGCGATCATTCGTCCCATGTGGTCCAATCCACCCAATCATGGAGCTCGTATTGTAGCAACTATCCTGAACCAAGACGCCTTGAATACTGAATGGTAAGTTAAATCAATCAAAAGTGAAAGGCGTCTTCTGTCATACATGTCGAGGTAGTTGTACGTAAAACCTAAAAGTGCATTTTTTTTGTGGCTTAAGGCCCACTAACGTCCCTTATTTTATCGTAAGATCGTCAGGATCGAGCGCCAACCGATACGAGCGGCCGTCATGGTTTCTTATGTACCGAGGGGGTAGGCGTCGGGGTTTTATAGCGGTGTGGGGAGGTAGGCGAAAGATGGCCGCTCGTAATACAAAGTGCTCGATTTCGACGATCTTACGGAAAAATACTGTTGGGGACTGTGAACAGTCTAGATGTCGGGCTATTAAATGTGGTCAATCTAAGCACCAGGCTTTTCTGAAAGAGGGATGGGGAGAAAAAAGAAACGAAACGAGGAAGCCTTTTCAAATCCCCTCTCAACTAACACCTAAAGATGACCTGAAGCACCCTTGCTTGCACCGCGCGTCCAAACATTGATCTGATGGCTGTTCAAACATGGCTAACACGTTGCGGCATTGTGCATTAAGCAAAGGAAATATTGGAAAATGTTGAATGTCATCACTCTTATATGTACAATACTGACCCAGCATCATCCAACCAGCGACCTCTGGCTCAAGACATCGGACATTTCTGATCGTGTTCTTGCAGTCACAGCAAAGAAATGCATAAAGATTTGTTGTTTTGTCAAAATATTATTTTACTATAGTTAATTAATTTGATTGCTTTTTTTACTTTCACGCTCCCATCGCCATTGTCGTTGATTACGCTCCCCATTCTTCGTAAAGGAGTGTTACATGACAACAGAATGAGTAGCTGTTTTCCCAGTGATGTCCTTTTATGATTTAGCCAGCGAACTGCAGACGTACTTCCGGTCGTCGCCCCTCTCCCTCGGAAAGGAGGAGGGTGAGAAGCGACGACCCGAAGTACGTCGGCAGTTCGCAGGCGAAGGGGTCATCTGTAATTGACTTTGCGAGTGAAAGATTACCTGAGTTAATAATTAAAAGTTAATTTGCCGCTTTGAGAGTTCAGAAACAGACGATATGAACGTTTGCCCTTCATCAGAATAGGCATGTTAAGCAAATTGGACAACCAACGTAACGTGAGAACGCGAAAACGTGCGAAAAAGGAATGAATGCGACTTACAGCAGTGCTAGATATTTTGGTGATCTCAGAGTTGTCTCAAGCCTCTGCTTCAAGGCGAGGCTAAGTGCAAAGTCATTGACAGCAAATGAAACTCATTTTCTCGAGTACGTTTTGCTCTTAGTCTCGTTTTGGAAAAACGAATTTGCCGTTCTGCCGTCGTGATGCAAGATCACAGTTGAAAGTGAAGTGCTTTCTTAGGGCGCTTTTTATTTGTCAGAACTAGCTGGTCGGACCATAGCCGGACCAGTCATTTTGACGATGAAATCGGCTTCTTCCAGGGGTTTTCACTGATAACCCATCTCCTTCCTGCACACTATTTAGGATTTGCCTAATCTGGCCGGATAGTTTTGATTAAGAGTGAAATTCTCATTACGACGGGAAGGGTCTGGCCGGTCAGTTCTGATGAATGGAGAGCGCCCCAAGGCTATGTTTGCACCATACCGCATAGTTTTTCTTGCCCACACGAAAAGCTATCAGTTTTAGTATGAACACCCATCCGAAATGTGACTCTCTACTTTAGAGATTGACGCGGTGCAGCTTCGCTCGGTTTCAAAAGTAGCGCCGAAATCACCGTTCTTTTGTGTGGTCAGTAGCCCTATCAGGTCTTACTTTCGAATCAGGCGCAAAAGCTATCCGGAGTACAGTGAAGACAGCTTAAGACTCTTGTCTTACTGATTTGTAGGCGTGAAACATTGAAGTCAATGGCTGGACGCATTCTCAATTGCCGAAAACTCCTTCACGAGAAACTGAGATTACTGGGAACACCAGGCTCATGGAATCATTTGGAAGATCAGAAGGGAATGTTTGGATTCACCGGCTTAAGTGGTGAGTAACTAGTACTAATTGAGGCGCACGCGAAATGGGTAATAAGAAGTGTTATTATTATTAGGTATTTCTCTCATGTTATATTGAAAACTGTAAAAACAACCAACATGTTTTGCTGTCGTGCTCACTTTTCGTCCGGTCAGACTTGCACGAGCATTGATCACTAGAAAGGTTATTTCCTACAAGGCAACCTTTGGTCACGTCGCGTGAAAGACAGTGGGGACTTTAAGGTGGTTTTACACGAGACCATTCGCAACGACGATTTTTAGCTCAACAAAGCGTTGCAACATTGTTGCGACCGACATTTTTTCGAGTGGTTACAACATTGTTCCAACATTGCAACGCTGTGTTGCACTAAAAATCGTCGTTGCGAATCTTTCCGTGTAACATCACCTTTGCGATCGGACGACGCGACGGCAGCGAAAATGTCGCTTCTAAAATGAGTTTGCATTCTTCCGGTCTTTATCGCGATTTTTCCAAATCACTTACTTTGTCAAATGTAGGCGAACCCTCCAGGAGTTGAATTTCTAAGAACTATATTCAAGTTTGGAGAAAGAATAAAATTTCGTCGTCGATCATTTATGTCCTCCCTAAAAAGTAAAATCAGGCAATTTCACGTCGTAGTCGTGTAAAACGGCAAAGAAATGTACAAAAAAGTGAGATGCACGTGCATAGCTGTTGTTTAATCCACTAAACCTGTTGCTATTTTTGACGTTCTCGTTGTCGTCGTCGTCGGATCGTATAGTCCCTATTAATAGAACGTAACGCTATCGTGCTCTCGTTTTCTGTTTTCTTTTTCGCGCAGCATTCGCACCTATCGCTGTTAAGGGGAGATATTTCTGTCGATTCAATGATTATTTTCTATTTATATTCACGACTACAAGAAGGGAATGGGTGTACAGCTCGGACTGTGAGCCTGAGTGTTTATTGCTGTCCGAATAACATAAAAAGTTCAACATCATAACGAAAGAATGGTATACAAATATTCGAAAACCCAAAAACTCAATGGGAAAAATTGGGAACGTATTCCCAAACCAATGCACAACCCTTGGGGGTTAAACGTAAAATCAATGATAGATAAATAAAGTAAGATATAAGAAATAAAAGTTGAAAGTTCAAGAGCTGAGATGAATCCGTTACAACTGTCAAACCTTTTATACCTTACAACAATAGAGTCAATTAACACCATAACTGCTCACCTGCGTTCATTGCATGCCACTTTGTTTAGCTCCGTACCAAGTAATCCGCTGGTCAATTTTTTCATGCTTTGTTTGCGCATCATTGTACACGCATTTATCACGATGACATGGGACCACAGGCAGACCACCCTCTGTTTGTGCGGCCGTTGTTTTGAAAGAAATACAGGTGAACATTACGGCGGCTACAATTATGAACTGGCACCAGAACTTGCCATGCCATATGTACGAAAGTTGAAAAATTGTTCTTTAATCATTTTGAAATGACGATATTGTGCATTGGTAATTCTATTTTAAATACCTCTCTGACTATTTTGTTTTGACTGGACATTAACTGGACTGCGATGAATTTTGGAGTTTAAGCTGATTTTCTGATTTCGCCACGACCTTAAATAGAAATATGTTCATACTCTCTATATTAACTAATCGGATTTTTACTGATGTAAGACTAAACTTTTAAAATGATCAAGATTGACAGCCTTCGAATCCATGGATTACAACAAATTTTGTCAGAGAGACATTCGAGTGAGAGATTAGGTTAGAGCTCTTCCCTTTAACTTGTGTTTTTGAATGAAATATAAAATTTGTTTAACTGAAGAAAGAGTGTACTTCCTTGTGAAGCCTATCAAAAAGAGCTTGTCCCCGACAAGCGGTTCAGTTATTTGTAACATTTGGACTAGGAATTGCGCAGGTGTAAACCAACAAAATCAGTCAGTTACTTAGTTTTACATCCTTTTCAGTGGATCAAGTGAGGCTTTTAACCCAAAAGCATCACATCTATCTTCTGAACAGTGGTCGTATTAACGTTTGTGGCATAACCCACAAAAATGTCGATTATGTTGGCCGAGCCATTCATGATGTTGTGACAAATACCAGTGCTCATCTCTAGTGGGTTGTCACTCAGGCATACCTCGTTCGCATTGTAAGTTTTGTTACTTTGAAATCTTTGTTATTATAGTGAGCAGTCTTCACATTTTTGCATTATGGATTATCGGGCAAGGTGTACATGTATTATCCCTTACAAGGCAGTTGCAAAGTGCTAAAGACTTTTAAAAAGATATTTAAAAGTTTTATCCAGCACAAATGCTTTGCTACCCTGTAGTTCGTTGCTTGTTCCTTTCAAATGAGTGTGAATGAATTTTGAATTTTGATCCACGACCCCTGTCTGTTTTTTCCTTGGCGTCTCAGATTGGGCAAGTCATGAACGACACGTTGGCCTCATTCTTTTTCTTTGTCCCTATTACAGCAAGCTTCATACAATTCTTAAAACAATACGGAAACCGCTGTAAAAAGGCTTCTTTTTACTTGTGTGGACACTTACTTGGTGGGGACTAAATCCTGATGTGCCATTTTCGTCTTATTTTCTCCGCAGTCAAGCAAGTAGAGTTTCTGGCCAGCAAGTACCACATCTATCTGCTGAATAGCGGACGGATCAACATTTGTGGAATCACTTCTGCCAATGTGGATTACGTTGCCAAGGCAATTTATGATGCTGTCACTACATGTAATGCTTGAAAATCATATCGTCGTTTAGCCTTTAGAGACATCGACAATTATCGTTTTCTGGGTTTGGGTGTGGACTTCAATGCCACTTAAGTCTACATGTTCTATGAGAAAGCTGGTTCTGAACCTTCTTTGACTTTTTCTACGGGCTAGGGTTAAAGGAATAACTTGAAGTGTTTGGTCTGGTGGTTCAGATCTGAAGGTTGGAGTTCCGAAGATTGGTCTTTTCTTCAACAAAGAATAGTTGGCCAGGCTCTGTCTCTTTCTTCACTGACATGTTGTGGTTAATTTTTTTATTTCGGTTACGTTTTATTTTTCCATTGTTTTTGGGTATGGTATTGTATGCTAATGAATTTAAAACAACGGGGAAAAACAAAAATTAACTGAAATAAAAAAAAAAATTAACGGCAACATATATGTTTCAAGAGTACTGCGTCTTCATCTCTTCTCGGAGGGGTTTGAAATGAAGCACTGGTGTTTACCTGGACCCATTTTGACTATTGTTAGGCCATGATTCAAGCATAAATAATTTGTATGTGTGCTTTTTTTCCCGGTTGCTCTCGAGAAAGTCGAAAAGAAACCGTGTTAAATCAGAAGATCAGTAACAGTTCCTAGAACATGGACCGTGGTGATGTATTTTTTTATGTTACAGTGAAAAAGAGTGTTTTTTTTTTTAACCTTAGTAAGAAATAAAGCCAAATGAATATAAACAAACGTGTGGAATGGTTATAATTCAGCATGTTAGTCCCTCAGGGATTATACGAAGAGTCCTGACTCACCAGTGTAACCTATTTACCCTTAAAACTATGAAACCAAGTGCGAAACCTGTTCAGTGAAAACAATTTTTATTTGCATAAGAGTGAAATACTTTATCATTCTTTGTCATATGAATGATTTCTTGCTTAACCTCGTTTTGAAAAAGAGGTTAGGGGCAACTTGGAAATGGTCTGGTCAGTCAATCATATTGCGTAGCCATGCGTAAATCAAAACAACTGCAAAATAACTTTATACATACACACATTCTCTCAAACAGCTCTTATTGTCTCAATTATGTCATCTAGTTCATAATCTTAAAAGGTCTCTTATATAAACTTTCGAAACACTAAAATAAGATAAATCATGCACAGCTTAATATTTTTGTGTTCATATATTATTAGGAATCAGGACTTACGTACTCTTTTTCTTTTCTATATTCTCACTTGTTTTACTTCTAATTACTTTTAAAATATGATTTTAAAAACATTGCATTGTATTGTATTGTCTGCCTATTCTGAACGGGCTCCCGGTAGTTAGTCAATCGTTATTTACACCACTTTCTAATTCATTAGCAAACGACGACACCGCATTCACTAATTTCAGAACTGACCGACCGGGCCATTCCCGTTGCAATGATAATTTCCCTTTTCAACAAAACTCTTCAGCCAGATCAGTGAAATCCTAAATAGTATGCACGAAGGAGAACGTTTGTCGGCAAAAACTCTTGGAAAAAGCCTATTTCATTTTCAAACAGGTCAGTTCTGACGAATGGAAAGCGCCTGAGACAAGGCATCTCAGTGTACAAGTGCGAATTGAATTCTTAAGTCGAAGAAACTGAGGAAATCTCTTCTAGCCTACGCATTCACGGTTCAGTATACCGTAAAATTCCGAAAATAAGCCCCCTAAAATCGTAACGCAAAAAACCCTCCGTTACATCGCCTCTTCAAATATAAGTCCCCCCCCGGGGGAGGGGTGGGGGGCTTGTACTTGAAATTTGCCCTCGCATACAAAGTAAAACAAAGCAAAACGGTAAATTTCCTTCCCACTACAAGCTAGCCCAATCGATTTTAAAACGCAAATTTCCCTACGTAGATAAGAACCTCAGAATATAGGCCCCTCCAAAAATAAGCCCCTCAAAAAGGGCCTTTGAAAAATATAAGCCCCGGGGCTTATTTACGGAATTTTACGGTATTGCAGCCAAAGAAAGACGAATTAAACTGGAACCAGAAAACTCGACGATTTTGGGTTGCATTATAGCGCTTATAAACTCTTCATTCTATACAAAGCTGTTTAACGATATCACCGTCCAAGATGTATCTGATGAGGTAAAAGCTGTTAAACTAGGAATCGTTATACGTTAAAGGGGCTATGTCAGCTGGAGAGCATGCGCGTTGAGGTTATGCAAATTACTTTTAACTGTCAAAATTCTGTTGTTTTTAATGCGTGACTTCCTGTCACGTCCAAAGCTCCGAAATGTTTAATGAGACGTTTACAAGTTTGGGTAACCGATCTTTTGATAATTTACGGAACGTTTCCTTTCTGGTTATGCTAGAAAGAGTTCACTCAAATTCTTCGTCGAGAATAAAAGTGGTAAGACAATTTTACTTGTAGTTTTGAGGTAAAAACGCGTGCCATTCTTAAAATTAAGCGCAAACAAAAATTCACCAACGTATCGTCGTAGTCAACAAAATAAATCAAAGTCTTATTTAATAAACGACCTACAAAACTCTAGGCCAAAGGTAAAGACCAGGACTGTTTCAGTTTATTAACAATTAGACTTGTCTCTCGCTACTGATTTTTGTAATTTAGATCGCATGCTAACAGGACAAGAGACGCCGTTTACTGATGCCTCCGTGTTGAAGCGAAACACACATTGATTGCGCAAATTTGTTCGATCGTGCCGAATCACTGCGACGTCGAGAAAAACAGAACCAGGTATCATTGGTATACTGCTCCATTGTAAGCATTCCGTGAATAACAAGGGAAAGTAAACTCTGCTATTTTCCAAAATATGCTCAATCACAAACAGTTCATAAACATGACCACCACAGAATCTAACTCGTACTGGTCCGTTGCTATCTAAGTCCGTTGAGAACGAGCTGGACGAATAAACGGTCGTTTTTTATCGTTGTCGTGAATGAAGATAAATACAAGAAGGAATCTAGCCGAATTGTATAACATTTCCTTCACCAGAAGATTAGTTTCGTCTCAAAACTCATGGCCACGCTGTTGTAATCGTTTAATAAAAACATCCGCCTCGAAGCGCCTCGATAGCCGCTTCATGTCAACATACATTGAACACACACACGCAAAAAAAAATTCAAGAGCCAGCAGCATCTAAAATGACTCAACAGAAAGTTTCTGTGAACTATAAGGAACATCTCATTTAAGATTCCATCACTCATCGTGGAGTGGCCGTCGTTAATTCTCTGCTAATTCAACGGCCTCTGGTACGACAATCGTAACAGGACATTGTAAATCCACGTCAAAAAAATCCAAGGACGAACAATTTCAAAAACAATGCAAAAATATTCTTCTGTAATCACCATAGGACGATTCTTAGTTCAAAACTTTGCTAACTATCGAACGATGGCTGAGATTTCAACAGCTAAAAACAGCCTTCCGAAATCTCCGACAGAACTTGAAAAAGACAGGCCGTCTTTTTCAAGTTTGTTTTCACTGGCTAGCGCATGCGCCACGGGTGACATAGCCCCTTTAATTGTTTTGACATCGTTGAGTGCATAAACTGAATTCTGATGACTAGGACACTGCCTCGGCCTCTGTTTACTCGAGGGTTGTTCAGCCCGTTGTTTGTCTGAACTGAGTGGCAAAATTGAAGCAATTTTGTGAAAGCGAGACTGCTGGTAAGATTAAAAGTTTGTTTCTGTGAATACCTACTATGGGTAGCTTTGCATCATCCTCTGTCGCAGCTCTATAGCGGGGGCACCCAACGAGAACATAGTTCAAAACCGCTTAAACATAGCACTGTTAAACGTATTTTAGTATTTAAACGGTAGATATATGCTTACTTTTATCCCCTAAAATTTTTTCATCTGTTCGGATTTCCTAGCTGAAAGTCTAGTGATCCGAAAATTATAGGGATCAAAACTTACCCTTTCGAAAATTTCAGCCAGAAAACAGGCTTCCGAAAATTCTAGGTGACCTTTTTACGCTAAAAATCCGTTAAAAATGGGCAATTATACCATTTTGTAGATGTTCGAAAATCCTAGGAGAGGCAGGCAAGCAAGAAATTTTACAACAAATGTTCCGAAAATTCTAGATCTCAAATCGTCTTCCGAACAGATATTTTCCGAAAATTGACATTGGGTGCCCCTGTCTATAGATTGTCTACAGTTGGGTCAGCTCAAAATTGACTGTTTGCGTTTCGTCATAACGCTTCCTTCCGCCCTCCTGCTCGTCAGACTCCCTATTTTCATTTTTAGACGCGCGTCTTAGTAAATTCTCTCCCCGCATAGTCGGGCAAAGTTTGCGAAGCTGTTCTCTGAAGTCGGGCATTCTCAGTGAATATACCATAAAGTTCAAAAATGAGTTGCTTAGTCGTAAGAACACTGCAATGTATATGATTACCCCTGGTGGATATTTGCAAGGATCCGAATATTTACAGGCGATTATGTAAGTGTTTATGACCTGGAATGGCAGCCATGTTACAACGAAAGCGCCAATTATAATCAACAAAGTTCTTGCCAGTTTTCGCTCCTGTTCTTCTTGCAGAGAAGACCGGTGTCGCGTTACCCAAATGACAGAATACGATGTGGAGATTATTACAAGTGGCAAAACGAGTGACGATATGAAAAAGACGCTAGTAAAGCGGTGATCCTTGACAAGAACCTTGACCATAATTAAACCACTGATCGCTAGAATCCATGGTACGCAGACGGCAACGATGTAGGTGCAACGGCTGAGCATTTGGTGGCGGAAAGGAAAACAGACGGCACACATTCTCTCCAAGGAAATCACGGCGATAGTAAAGATCGATGCCAACCCAGTTATGATGTCCAAGTAATGGCTGGCAAGTCTCACTTCAGGCGGCTGGTGAGTCAAGGTGATTGTTATGAAAAGAGGGAGAACTAGCGTTCCTATTAACAGATCCGCCACGGTTAAGCCGATGAGGAGAAAGCTAGTTGACCTTCGACGAAGTTTCATCCTTGAAAATACTGCGATTGTAAGAATGCTAACGCCAGTTACTAGCACCGCAAGTAAAGCGTAAAAGAAACACAGAACTACTATTCCTTCCATCTCTGCTGTATATGACTTGAGAGGCAAATGGGTTGTGTCTTGAGGTTTTAACGCCTAGTGATGGCTTTCAGAATCGTATTTTGGCGAAAGCAAATGCAAATTCATGTAAATGATATTCGACTTCCTGATTGCGTGAATTTAGATTTGATTCGCAGATGTCTATTGGCGTGTATTTATACCTATCTTAATTCCACTCAACTGGATGTCATTTAACAAAAAAACGAGATAAATGAAAATACGAACCACAAGATCATCGGATCACGTATCTCGATAACGCTGAATACGCCAGAAAACCGGAACACTTTTAAAAGGAAAAGCCCAAGCGTCTTTTCGGAATATATATATGTCTGGATTTATGAAAACATGGCTTCAGTGAGTGTCTAAAGGTCCTATGCTAAGGGTGTCCTTGGTACCAAGACTTTGACCCTCCCCACCCAGGACAGTGGGTGACTGTCTGCACCTCCCACTGAACTCTGCAATTATCATGATAATCATTCTCAGCAGAGGCCTGATTCAGCTGGCTAGGACAAATTAAGACCAAGGTACTCGCTAGTCAAAGCCTCCACTGAACACTGCTGCTTACTGAAGGGGCTGTGTCAAAACAGCCCCCTCCCTACCCCACACTAGTTTTGACCCCAAGGCTTGATCCACCCACCTACTGTTAGGGCAGTACCTGGGCTATCCAGCCGGTGCCGACCAAGACGTCAAGCCCCCTATTTTTTTGGACACCGGACTGGCCTGGATCCGGGCTGCGCCCGGCACCAGGCGAAAACCTGGTGGCCACGTTTTAACGAAATCAGACAGATCTAAATATATATATATATATTTATGTATACCGAAAACTGGGCCTTGCAAACTGCCACCTTTGAGCTCTTTTTCGCTTCTGTTTTTATCGTCACGGGACTTATCTCCTCGATTTGTGAATAATATTATAAGCTAATGGAAGTCCTATGTATCTTTCCAATGGTTTTTAAAGTGAAACCGATATTTAACCCAATTTAGCCAAATGTATCCTTTACGGAATAAGTCAAACATAATATTAATAAACGACATTTAAAATATAAAAAGGTGAAGCATGAAAAGTGATCTTGATTGATTGCTGACAAATTTTATCTGATCAAGTTGAAATTAATATTGACATATATCGTTGTAGGTCCGTGCACACTTCGGCCAATCTAATTAATTTTTCATTTTTCCAACAAAAACGGAAAAAGGAAATATTACTAATCCTTGTCATATTTACATATTTTAAGGTACAGAAAAAAGGAAAGCGGTCAGGAAAATTGATCATTTTTTCATTTTTCTAATTTTGAAGTCCTCTTCAAAAATACAAAAAACAATTTAAACGGCTAAAAGCGTATTTTGCTATTTTTAATTTTCGATATTGTTTGAAAAGCGAGAAAAACGAAATAATCTTCGATTTCTAATTCATTTTTCTATTTTTCCATTTTCCCACAAAAATAGGAAAACGGAAAAATGTAAAAAATATATTTATTCGAACCATTTTTTNTGTCATATTTACATATTTTAAGGTACAGAAAAAAGGAAAGCGGTCAGGAAAATTGATCATTTTTTCATTTTTCTAATTTTGAAGTCCTCTTCAAAAATACAAAAAACAATTTAAACGGCTAAAAGCGTATTTTGCTATTTTTAATTTTCGATATTGTTTGAAAAGCGAGAAAAACGAAATAATCTTCGATTTCTAATTCATTTTTCTATTTTTCCATTTTCCCACAAAAATAGGAAAACGGAAAAATGTAAAAAATATATTTATTCGAACCATTTTTTTAATTTTTCCATTATGTCCAAAAAATGAAAAAATAGAAAATTGGCGTACCTGTCGCCTGATTTTCCATAATTCCATTTTAACAAGAAAATGAAAAAATGACAAGTGTTGCGAATAATTTTTCCATTATTTTTATAAATAGAAAAAAACAAACAAACGAACAAACAAAAGCGGGCAATTTTTCATCTTTTGTTTTAATGAAAAATAGAGAAGAAAAATGACCAATCTTGAACACTTACCAATAAAGAAAAGATAAACCTAAATTCACTTTCACTTTTGGATTTGATTAGATGATTCCTTTACCTTATTACTTAGGACCCACTCTGTGACCTGTTCTAACATTGCGTCACCATAAAGTGTTCCTGTTGCATTCCTGTGGAACGTTTCCCCATACATGTCGCGCGAGTGGGTGTCCCATGGGAACTAAAACTAAAACACCCGTTCTGCGGCAAGATCCGTTATTTCGGCAGGCTAAGCAGTCTACTTTGAGCATCTATTTCATTTAAAAGGGTCTGACCTCTTTACTGACCTGCTCTTTATTTATTTTGTGCATGTGACTGTTCAACGACCTTCTTCTTAACTCCTTCCCCTTAATCTCTCTCACAAACTGCTTTTATTATGCTGGGACCATGGTGTTGCTGACATGAAAACCATTGCGTTTAACCCCCCCTTTCCCGTACCAATTTTCACGCCTTCTCCGCCTCCCTCGTACCCTTTCTAATATTCTTGATTTCCACCGCAGGTACGGTACGGTTTTCCCACTGTTGTCATCCACAGTCGACTCCCGACAACTCAAACCTTCAGGGAAATCGTGAAAAGTTAATCAACTTCAATAGTGAATGGAACTATGTCCACATCTCGAAAACTAAAGCCCCTCCCCCACAAATTCCCCCACATCTCCGTCAACCCTGTGCAAATCTTCTAACCAAATTAGTCAGTCGAAAGTGGATACGAATTAGGTTTTCTTTTCTTCACCGTTAAATATTCATAACTTCTCACTTTTCTGCGCCATTTTTCAATAAAATGAAAAATGAAAAACTGTCTGAGAGGGTGTATCATTTTAAAGTTTTTCTATTTATTAAAAAAAGGAAAATAGAAAATTGTTCGCAACACTTGTCATTTTTCATTTTTCTTATTAATATGGAATTATGGAAAATTGGGCGATAAGTATGCTATTTTTCTATTTTAACATTTTCTTGAACACAATGGAAAAATGAAAAAATTGTGCGAATAAACATATTTTTTTTCATTTTTCCGTTTTTTCTATTTTTTGCGAAAAACGAAAAAATAGAAAAATGAGTTAGGAATCGGAGATTGTTTCATTTTTCTCATTTTCTAACAATAGCAAAAAATAAAAAATAGCAAACTATCGCTTTTAGCCGTTTACAGTATTTTTTGTATTTTTGAATTGAACTTCAAAATTAGCCAAAACGAAAAAATGATCGATTTTATTGACCATTTTCTTTTCTCCTATTTTTTCCAGTACTTTAAAACATGTAAATATGATAGGGATAAGTAACATGTCCTTTTTCCGTTTTTGTTGGAAAAATGAAAAAATAGATTGGCCGAAGTGTGCACGGACCCTGGAGCTTCAGCAGTAAATTCGATACCTCTGAGTTCGAGCGCAAAAAACTTAATCGCCTTTTAAAATTCGATGAAATAAAATCTTTTATAAGGTAATTTAGTCTTTTAGCTTTAACTTGATATATAACTTGCCTTTGTAGCGAAAATACTCGCGCGACTAGAATTTTTTTCTGTTGGCACCTCGTTTTCCTTTACCGAGACCTTAAGTAACAACGGACGGCCACGGCTTCGAAAAAGTCACTTAAAAAGTGAATTCGCGCTGTTTCAGACTTTATCGCGTTTCTTCCATCTCGTTCAGTCATCAAATGTTGGCAATTTTATGTCTAGAGTTGAATTCTAAAACACTGTATCAAAGTTCAGGAAGAGAAAAGAAAGTTGTTGATTTATTGTGTTCCCGTCCTCGACGAAACGTGAAATGAGGCACTTTCACATTGTGGTCGTGCAAGAAATGTACAAAAAGTTGTTGTTTTGCTAATCTAAACCTATAGAGTGTTTTCACATGACGTCACGGTGGCCTAATTGGTGTCCCAAAACAATGAAACGGCGGCCATGTTGGTGTCCCAAACCAATCCTCTGGGAGTTGAACTCTTTTCTTATGTAAACCTTTCTTTTGTTCCAATAAATTTACATAGATGCTGGCCACGTGAGTGAAACACTCTATTGCTTTTTTTGCCGTTCTCGTAGCCGTCGCCGTCGCCGTTGCTTAAGCTCCCTATTAAAGTGGCTCTGTCACGGCTGTCTACTTCATTTTGTTACCATAGTCACTCGAATAAGACTGATTAAGGCATTCCCTTGGGGAGAATCAATGACCGGACTCCGGAAATGGCGAAGACCGAGCCTGGCTATTTTTTTTATTTACATTGTTTATTTACTCTCGTTTGTGTTCAGGGTGTTTCTGTTTTCAGTTTCGAACTAGCTTTTGTTTTGTTTTTACCTTGGCTTCCTTTTAATTTTTCAGTGTTGGGGCTTTAGAGAAGGCCTCCGCATGATTCTCCCTCAGGCTCGAAATCATATATCCCGACGAAATGTGAATGATGTGATACAGTTGGCTTGGTTTCAATTTGCGAAAGAAGGAATGACCCGAAAGGGCAATAAGAGAAGCTGCTAGCTAATAGTTAGTGAAAATTTACAGATAATCACGTTTTACTTACATAGTCACTACAGGTCCTTTTTTAACTCCAAAAGGGAATAGGACAGGAGGCTTTCGGAACCCAGATGTAGACGGATCAATAGTTTATAAATCTTGTTTCGCTATTGGCTATTATTTCCAATCTCCTTGCTTTGGAGAAGACCTGCTCTTGTTTTTAGTCGTGTAGTTAAATATGTTATTTGTATTTGGGGAAGAGAGACTCCTCACTGGTAGCTACAATGTTATGAGCTGTTGAATATAAACTTCGGTTATGATTCGCTAATGGCTTAATCGCAATCCAATTTGTTGACCTTTATATACAGGTAAAAAATAATAAAAAATCATGCATTCGGCGGGAAGTCTTTTAAAAGGGCCGGTGACCGCGTCCGTTATATTCACTGGTGACCGTTTTGAAAAGGTCAAGCTAACAGAGTACTGATAAGGTAAAATTTTCGGAAAGTTCAGTCTTGTGACCGTAATATGCAGGGTACAACAGGTGTATACAGGTTTGACTATATGATTCTCTCTCTACTACCACTGAGAGAAGCCTAATTTATAATTATATTAACGCTGTAGGACTAAGTAATAATGAACGTTTGAAAACTCTGAGCAAAAAAGTCAAACTAACCTAATTATCAAATAAGATAACGAATATATGCATTCGTTTAGGCCGGGCACCCAACGAGTGTTTTCTGTAAATTATCTGTTCGGAGAAGCAAATATTATAGAATTTTCTATTACTTACGGACGGCTAAAAATTTCAAAATCCATTCATGTACAATTTTCGAAACTTATCTAATAAATTCCCTACGATTTTCTGAAGTTTTATTTTCACATCACTTTCCAAGTTAGGCTGTGTTTTTCGTAGAAAAAAGGAAACCTTAAATTTTCGGATTCAAAAATGCCATGGAGAGAGGAATCGTCTCACTTTCGTAATACGTCAAATTGCATCTAAAATTTTCGGGAAAATAATACTCAAGCCTTTGCAATTTCGATGACTCTAGTTCCCCTAGGATGACCGAACAGATACAAATTTTCAGTTTAGCGCCGCTTAGAAAGCCTACAGTGACTCTCAATGTCTTTAGGAGGAAACCGTTGTTGGGTGCCCCTGATTCGCCGAACGGAAATATGCAAAAGGTTGCGTTTCACCGACTGGAGAGTTTTTAGAAGAGTTCGCCTGTTTTGAAAGTTAAAAGTGTCGACCTGAGCAACTTCTCTTTTGCGCTCGTTAATACTGTCTTTTGCTCTTGTTATACTGCAGGCAGCAGAACCCTGCTCCCAGTCTCTTTTGGTGTTCTCCTAAATTAGAAACTGAATCATTCTTCAGGTGAAGCGTCTTGTCGACTTATGCAAAAATTACTGCAAGGTTGAAGCGTTTTGGAGAGTTGCTGTTTGAAGTCAGGCATTCTCAGTGAATACACTATAAAGTTCATGAAGGAGTTGCTTATTCGTAAAAACACTGCCACGTACAGTATTGGAATTATTACAGGATTTACGTGGGGTTGTTTGCAGGAAGTTCGTCTACATGCTATGTTATAGATGCTTATGACCTGAAAGGGCAGCCATGTTACGACAAATACACCGATTATTATGAAGAGAGTTTTTGCCAACTTCTTTTTTTGAGCTAGTCGTAGCGTAGAGCGATGATTACGCTGTATAGAATTACCGTGCTTTTTCCAAATGGCAACGTATGAAGAGCAAATAATTATAAGTGGCAGTAGGAGTGAGGTGATAATGAGGACGTCACTTAAGTAATCATCTGCGATCCCTATCACAGCCCCAGAAACAACCAAGGCCCACGGCATGCACAAGGCAAAAATGTAAGAACGCTGGCTGAGCGTTTGGTGAAGGAAAGGCCAGCAAACGGCGTACATTCTCTCCAACGAAATCACGGCGAGAGTAAAGATTGATGCCAAACCAGTTATGATGTCCAAAAGATAACTTAGCGATGCGATTTGCGGCGACGGTCGAGTCAACGTGACTGTAATGAAAAGTGGAAGAACTAGTACTCCCACCAAAAGATCAGCGACGGCCAGACTGATTAGAAGATAATTACTTCGCTTTCGACGAAGTTTCTCTCTAGAAAATATTACGATGATAAGAACGTTCACACTGGTAATCAGGATTGCAAGAAATGTATAGAACACGCACAGGATTAATTCCTCTGCCATATCTGTCTCCTGCTGGCGAGAGATGATTTGCTTGTTATTAGCTTTTGCCCTAACGTGTTTTCTTTCGAACTTCGCTAGCTCTAAGGAAAGTTTTCTGCCAGCAACAGAGTACGTCAAATGTTGTATGATTCTCTTTGATCGCTTGACCGAATTTGAAAACGGTTTGTGTGTAGGCGTGCTCATAGACCCGGAAAAATTAAAATAGCTAGACTGTGTCGAAACGTCCCTAGCGGCGAAGAGCGGGGAGAAACGGATGTTAAAAGGGAAGTTATAGGGTTATCCATATGTTAAAACTCTCCAAAAGAAATAGTTATGGTTAGGGACTTGTCAGAAATTAGCAGCGGTGGAGGGGGGGATGGAAACAGAGGGAGGGTCACAACTTTTTGAGACTCCGAAAAGGGAGGGGTCATGAAAAATCTGCCGTTAAAAGGGGGAGGGTCATGCAAATATATGCCCATGATCATGTAGAGGTTCACCCACAGAAGAAAAAGGAAGTTCTTTATTTGATAAAAAAAAAAAAGAAAAAAAAAGAACAACGGAACATTATGGATATAAACTGTGAGGTACTATGGCAAGAATTAAACAAACATCTACTTTTCATTTATAACAATGCCATAGAGTCTTATTGCATTTTTATTATGAATAATGTTGTTATTAATGTTATTAGAGTTTCGGCTATCCTTTTCGTCACTGTGTTCAGCATCCCCATCAATGCTGGTGTGAGCATCTTGATCATCATCATTTATGTCATCAGCATTGATACAATCACTTTCATCATCATCATGATTTTCATTTTAGTTGAAGCGTAGATATTGCTTAATAATTTCCTGTGATTCATTGGTGAACAATCCCTTCTCAAAGGCATATTGGATATATGGCCTTTGTGTTTTGAGGAGCCCACTTATTCCTTCATAATGAATGAAGAGATTAAATGGACCAATAGGCTCTGTAACATCATGCGACTCTTGCTGAGGTGAAATGGTTTGAATAACTCTTTTGCAGTTTACTTCCATTCTTTTGTCTTAGCTTTTTTTGCTTTCCTTTTATTTTGTTTTTGTTTCCTTTTTTTTTCTTGTTGGCTTGGAATACTGGAACATTAGCACCTGGAACATTTACGAACCTGGAACATTTTTCTTTCAATTCTGTAAGGTGGGGAGGGTCATGATATTTTAGGCCAAGCTCAAGGGAAAGGTTAGCAAATTTCACTCCCATTGCAGGGATGGGTCACCTACTTTCCGAACCCAAATTTAAAATTCCCACCCTCCTCCCCCCCCTGCTAATTTCTGACAAGTCCCTTATTAAAAGTAAGAATAAATAAATGAGTAAATAGATACAAACTTTGATGATTGTAATAATGACAACAGTATAGTATAGTGATAAGACGATTCTTAGTTAACCATTAAGGTAAAATTTAAGTTTGTATTTATGGTTGAAGACTCTAAACAGTAAAAATGCAATTTAAGAAATAACATATTTTTGGACAACGCATTTTTAAATGTGCCCTTTTAAGGCTTCTAAGTTGTTTTGCTGAGTGTCTCTTCTTGTATGGAGACGATTGGCCCCAAAAGTTAAGGGGTAAAACGCTGCCCAAGAATGCAAAACGTCCACTTCCTGTTGACGTTAGTCGCCAAGAACGTCCTTGCTAACAACCCCCTAACCGCTCGACGGCGACAGGAACATCTAAAAGCAAAACGTGCATCACGTTATTTTGTCAACTGCATGATCAAGATGTGAACTGACCAAATCATTAAAGGGCCAACGTCACGCTACTTGGCGGCTCTCTTTTAAAAAACTAAAACGTGCCTTCAATTCGTATAAAAAATAATGGTCCAGTTTTGTTATTTCATACTATATTTATTAGGCATCGAAACTGTTTTCTGTTGTTTGTTGCTACCGATGGCAAGGATAGATATGGATTGGAATTTGAAAAAGTTGGGCCAACTTTTTTTAAATTTTAAACTAATGCCCACAAAAAATCATCAAAAAATAATTTTGCTTTGTATTCCCCGATGAATTTATTTTTTGTTGATACCGTCTTCATACTCTACAGGAGAATTTTTCGTGGGACCGTAAAGCCTAAATAATGACACAGAGTTGACCTAATGCAGCAATATCCTCGTGACATAGCCACTATAAATTTACTCGACAACGGGAATGGCAATGCGATAAATTTTACATTCACATCGACGCGGTCCCTTTCAGTAGGTCCGATCTACCAGGGGCCCTCAACGAGAATATAGTTAAAAACCACTTTAACATAGCATTGTTGAACGTATTTTAGTATTTAAACGATAGATATAGGCCTATTTTTATCCCCTAAAAATTTTTCATCTGTTCGGATTTCCTAGCTGAAGGTCTAGTGATCCGAAAATTATAGGGATCAAAACTACCTTTTCGAAAATTTCAGCCAGAAAAAAGGCTTCCGAAAATTCTAGGTGACCTTTTTACGCTAAACATCCGTTGAAAAATGGGCAATTATACCATGCTTGGGAGGTTTGAAAATCCTAGGAGAGGCATGCAAGCAAGAAAATTTAACAAAAATTGTTCCGAAAATTCTAGATCTCAAATCGTCTTCCGAACAGATATTTTCCAAAAATTGTCGTTGGGTGCCCCTGACGTAATTTCCATACTTTTTAAAGTGACTGGGTGACTTGAAATAATCGAAAAAATAATAATCATGTAATATTTATGTTATGATGTCAGTTATAACAAAGATCAACATGTATCAATTTGTTTAAGTATAAGAGATTCAAAGATGGAAGGTTCACCTACAAAAATACTGGGTCGAGCCAACTTAAGATTAAAAACACGAGAAAGGATATATGAAATGGTTTCTATCAAAGTTATCAGTGTTTATTTTAGGGAAAAATTTCGATATGCTGTAGAGGACAGTTACCCTAAAGAGACCAGATGAATGAAACCTTGCACAGGGAAAGTGGATTTTTTGACATGTCTTTCTCATCGTTTCACAAATTTTCCATTGACAGCACTTTAGTCGTTAAGAGGAGTCGCGGTAGATCATAATCTGTTTGGAAGACCTACAAATGTAAATTTTATTTATCATTTTACAAGGAATGGAACGCAGTTTGAAATATATTTGCTCCGATTATTTACCTAATGGCTCCGCTAAGTCTTTGAACAATCTGATAACGAAAAATGACTTGATGGATCGTTTTTATGGATGGTGGGGATAAATTAATGAATTACAACCCCGGTTGCGTCTCAGAAACATTTACTACGGAACACTGAGCCCTTTTTTTACTGCTTTAGAAAATTCACTTCATATCTGGATTCAGTAGGGATCCGCACAACCATTTTAGTCCAATAACACGTGTTGGAAAACTGCGAAAGCCAGAGATAGCCAAACAAGGAACTTGCCGGTGTGAGTTGTTAAAGCAGTTCCATTACACAGTTCCAGATCACAGCAATTTACAGTGCAGTTTTCGCCGCCGCTGATGTACTTGCAAGCTCGAGGGGTACAAAAATCGTTTGCAAAACATCCACGTTCGTAGACGTCAAATTGTTTCCCCCAGGCGTCGAAATGAACGCGGGTTTTGGCACAGACGTCCAACCATGACGCACAAATCACTCGACTTCTCTGCTGGTCACAGTCAGTCCAGCTTACTTTTGAGTAACAGGTATAACACGTCAAGGAAACAGCTGAAAACATAAGAAAACGCTCATTAGGGTCTTTCAATCCAGTCACTCCAATATTGTCATAGGGTTTGCTTGAAATAAGGTCCTGGACGTCTCTGTTATTTGTTTTATCAGCCAATAGCTGATGAGAAAATCAAACCGTAGACACTAAGATGGAAAAGTGAATAAAGCATCTTTTGATTGTCCAATCAAATTACTGATTGTTTTAACGAAAGATGTCAAAGCGACCTGTCCGTTATTTTTAGAACGTTCGCTGAACCATCCAAAAGCCAAGCGCGTTTTTGTAATCTCTTGATAAGAGTCTTTCTTTCACCTGCTCGATTTTGGCTACTGGGGAAAAAGACTCTGCATGAGAGTAAGAGTACGTGCTGCTTGTTGCTAGGATACACTTTCAAACTCAGGCCTTATTTCAGTGCGTATGGTTTAGCGAGCTCAGTTATGACCATGGATTTACCAATTAACGGAATTAGCTCGCACTTGGTAAAAACCGTGAGAGACCAAGAATGGCTAGTCCAGATGCTCGGGCCTTGGCAACTTTAAAGGCTTGATGTAATTCAGGCGGAGCCTCACTCTAGAAAGAAAAAGGAGGCTCTCATCGCAGGGTGCAGAATGCTTTGCTAAATTGTTTTCCACTTAATAACCTTTTAACCCCCAATATCTACATACAAATTCTCCATGCTGATTTCCAAACATTTCCTCAATGATTAGTTGAGAGAATTTGATAAAAGATCAAAGCATTTTTTTTCTTTGTTGATCATTTGATAATCTCTCATAACCTTTTCTCTAGATGATGAATAAGTGCTTTTAGGAGAAAGTTGATGTTGGTCACTCTAGGGATTTAAAGGGTTTAACAAACACCGTTCTACAAGGGATTCTGACTACGTCATTAAGCAAGGTGGATTGACGCAAGGCGTACAAATAAATTTTTTTGTCAACGGTGCTCGTTCACTATAAAAACGGCCACCTGTTATCTTTTGACAGCACGTTGGAAAAGGTATTACGATTAATTCAATTTGCTCAGCACAAATTTTGCTATTTTCTTTTGAATTTCTTCTTAAAATCTGAAAGGAATTGATAACTTTGACTGAAATAATGTTCGCAATACTGAATAGATGAGAGAATATGGTGTTCAGTTGACCAAAGAGCCTTTCGACCCAGTTGATATTTTGAATATGAGCCATTAGTTTGTAAATGCAAGTTGCAATATCACGTCGTTAGTATGCACCAACGCTCACTTTTTTTCGAGTGAACCTTCACTAACCAAATCTGCATTTACCATTCATCTAGCTATTACTTGCTTTTTTGTCTTTTTAAAGTCTTCTTCGTGACTTTGCAGTTCTTCAGACATTTTGTGTGCATTCTATTTAACCGCTAATACAACCGGTTCTCGAGGTTTCACTGTAAATTTTCCACCCTTGAATCCATGAACATTAGCCAGTCAGGGGCTGACCAAACGTATTGTAACCATTGCCTTTGAAAATTGTTTATGCCGCACAGCTCTCAATATATGACATATATACATCACAAGTAGCAGCTTTGCTAGCTGCAAAATGAGGATGTCATTAGTAGGTTACCAGAGCTCAAGTAATTTATCGATGGCAGTTATCCTCGATTGCCAATAGCTGTGCTTCTTTCGGAACGGATTTTTTAAACGCTTTTCGATGATGTCGGCTGACTTAAGGCCGAATTAGAGGACTTTCAAAATGGCTTCCTGAAAGCAGTTAGAAGGACCATTAAAATTCCTGACTACTACCTTTGGTTCCCGGTTATTTCCGTGCGCAAGAGTGTTGTTGTGAGAAATAATTGCCAAAGTACTTACCGGTTTTTTGAAAAAGCGCCGAGAGGAAAAGTATTTCAATTGCACTCCGCATTGTTGCTAAACGTTTCAAATATTTCGTCTAAAAAAACAAAAACTTTTGAAGGCGATATTGAACTGCGTTCAAGGCCAGTGACTTGTACCGCAAAGCATTCTGGCCTTTTTCTTATGCAAAAGTTTGCAAAAATGGACTTCTGGACACTCCAAAGCTACATTAAGTACTCCGGTGCTTTTTTTTTCAATCGTGAATACGACTTCTACCTAGTCAGAATGTAAATGAAAGTCGAATTTTGGGCTCGTTCGGGTGAAAAGTTCCAGGAGAAGACGGAACGTCTCAAAAAATGGCCTGGTTTCCGATCGGAATATTCCTCCCGGAAATTCCTGTTCCTTTTTTTACTTCAAGATTTCTTCAACCTATCATTGTTACTAGTTTCAGTTTTTTGCGGCCATTTTTCGGCAGCCAGGACTGATTTGTGTAAAGGTAAATCCAGAACGGAATTTGCCAGTCCCGAGTTTTGCTTACCAGCAGTTACCCTGAACTACCGTGATCAAGGTTTTTTAATGTTAATGGCAAAACAACTGGCCCTGTCTCGATCAGATAGCAAGGCGGGAAGTTTGCCTATATGAAGAACATGGCTAACTAGTTTGGTCCGCTAAACTTCAACGCGGTCGGCCAGGGTTCATTAAACGTCGCTTTGGATTTGTTTCTCAGTCGTCCTGCAAATGTCTCCCAGACCACGCATGCTCGTAATATCGTTGGCATTGAATACCTGAAAATCATGTTCGTCAATTCTTGTGTCTAGGCACTCCTGTAAATCGTATATCTTGCAAATTTTAGACATTTTCAGTACGTTTAAAAGCTTTTGGAGATGTTCTTCATAAGTAATATAGCAGACTTGAAATTAAACGGACGAGAAAATAATTCTATTAAGTGAAGAAATTGTTTAAGACTGCTGGGTCAAGGTTGCCGTATCACCGTACCATTCAATCACAACAAAAAACAGTTCTTGACTTATTACAAACGACCTGTGTAACCTGTGTAAACATCGTTTGTTAAGTTTAATTAACCATCTATAGGGATTCTCTATCATAATTAATAGTCTTAAATTAATTATTTTAATAAGTTACAAAAGTGGAATTTTCTATCCGAGAGTCTTTGACTTTCTTTTTTATATTTCTTGCTACATATATTTTATAAACGTCGTTCAACAACTCTTCTTTCGCTTTAAGTAGATAAGCGTTAACTAAGCTTGTTAGTCATGCTTAGTGCTTGAGAAATGTTTGTAGGTACAAGAGTGTTGCACCACGCAACAGAAATGACAATTGAGTAGTCCTAACGTAAAACCAAAACATAACATTATGCATTTTTTATCACAAATTTTATTAAACATTTAGACATAAGTCTGTTCCGTTAAGACAGAGGAAGGATCTTAAATTATCCTACACTCGGCTTGGGTTGGAATATATCAAAAAGTGCTTTTAAACTGTAAGTACATCCAATACTTCTCCCTTTGCTTCCATGGCCAGCAGTCCAGAAGTTACAGTTGGCAACGTCTAGATCAAGTCTTAGGGTAATCATATATAGAAGTAAAATGACTTAATCGCGAGTCAAAATTTTTTTATACTGATATCTTACATATCTTACATAAAGGATCGGAATTTCTAAGCCCCAGCCGACGACTCACGAAGGTGATTCAGTTTCACTTAAGTAATTCTTGAAACTGAGGCGTTAAAGACACTGTCTAGCTAAGGGAGGCCGCCTTCAGCCTAAGGATGTAACGTTCCATTCTCGAGTCACTGAAACAACTAAACTGCACCTTAATCTAAATTATCCGAGATACTCGACAAGATAACTGTAACACCGAGGTTAGGGAAGTAAAAAGCTGTTCACATATCGAGGACCTTAGTTTAAGGTAGGCAAGTTTAGTGCGTACGCTATTCAGTTTACTAAAACTTAATGGGAGCTTTTGGTATTACGTAAGTTAATTTTAAAAGACTTGCTCACTGGCATCTGTTTCTCTTTTTCTCCCGTACTTATAGTTTCTCTAGGAAAACCTTTACGTAAAGGAATTTAAGGAAAGGAGTTGAAAGTTAATCCCAATCCCAAGACCAGTTGCGGAAGCCATGGCAGCTGAATGTGTTCCAAGTGTTTTATGGAAGAAAAAAGCCTTTGTGTCCATCGCAGTTTTGCTTACGGTAAGATTAATTGAGGTGCATTTTCTCCCAGTCTCTAGATATTATGTTATCACGGAGTAGTATACTGAATAGATGATTAATTTTTGAGTTCATCATTTAATTTGCCAGTTTTGATGAATCATGACGTTCATAGGTCGCTCGTTAGGAACGAAACAATTTTCGAATGAATTATTCATGATCATTCATCCTTCATCTCAATTCGACGCCCAAGCTATAGCCGAGTATGAATGTTTGTTTATCGGACAGTGGTGGCCTAGTCTCCATTTATTACGTTAGGCCGTGAAGTTGAAATAAGTTAAGGAGGGCATGTTAAGCAATCATTGGGTTTTTTCGGAAACCATTGTTCCAAAGTTAAGTAATATGTTCTGGAGTGGGCATCATTTGCTTTCTTTTGTATTGCGTCCTTGGTGATCCCACTATTCGCAATATCAACGCTGTGTTTACACCCGAAGCGATGTTTCCTGATTATTGCTGTTTCCGGATTTATTTACTTTTAGGGTATTGGGATTCGCAGGTGTTTTCACACATCAGTAAAAATCCAAAATCATTTACTGTACTTTGATAAAAACTGTTCACTTTAAATTCCAAATTCAGAATCTCAGGCCACGCCACCAAATCCGGACCTTGTTATTTCGGATTCAGGCATCTACCATGTAACGAATCCGATACCAAAATCATCGGACTTGTGACGTGTTCGGTAAAATCTCCTCTGGTGTCAACCTAGTCCAAGTTGAAACTGGAAATCACACTGTTTCTTATGGAGGAGTCAAAGTACAAGAGAAAAATATCCCACGACACTACAAACTAAACCGACTAATAAGATGTACAGGTTTTTACTTACCAATGGCCATTTCAGAGCAACCGCGACGCCAATGCTTTGGACCGCAAAATATCCATTGAAAAACAGCTAAACCTACTTTTTGTCCTTAAATTGTGCATGTAGGAATTTTCTATTCACCATTATACGTGTACTTACATCGATCATTCCCATTCTATTTATTAAGAAAATTCAAAATTGTCTTTTTGTATGATTTCGCAGATTATTACAAGCGGGAAATCTCTACCTTTTAGGGGTAAGCACATTGACTTTTCTTCCTGTGGTCATTTTAATACAACTGTTATAGTTGCAAGTAACTTACAAGTGAACTGAACTGTTTCAAGAAGTATTGGTAAGGGTAATGAAGCCTAATTTCACTGATGGCATCGTACTGATGTACAGCGGTAACAGTTTTACGTCTGTCCTATTCTAATAGCTAAACACTTGTAAATTGTACTTGTAAAATTTTTATTGAATTGACCCTTGGATGATATAGTTAGTTGTAAAAGCATTCCCTCCACAAATTTCTCCTACATGTCAACTGTCCCTCTCTACCGGCATCTCTAAAAGACGAACGCCCCCTAAACCGCTCATTGGTCCCGTAACTGATCTTAAGAGCTATTTACATGATACTGGAATGACTTTCATTCTGGAAAGGTGTTCATTCCGTCGCCACGTGTCTGTATTTATTCGTTGACCTGATACTGCTTTTAAATCCGGGTGAAATTCTTATTCTGGTATAAAGTTTCATTCAAGTATATTGTAAGCTGAGAATGGACTTCGTTCCAGGTTGAAAATTGCAAACCGTGTAGTATGGTGGTCCATGAGCATCTGATCTGGCGCATTTACTGCGAACGAGAGCTAACGCCCTAGGCCGAGCCGGTCGATTTTATCATCTGAATGCGGTGCTAACTTCACTCTGAAACGAAACTCATTATTCAAAATTATTGCAGTATCAAGTAAACAGCCCATTAAACCTTTTCGAATTACTTTACTCTCAAATATCTCCGCTCGGAAAATGCTCAGATGATTGCGGTCGCTTCTGAACACTTTCCGATGGCCCGGCTTTTTGAGCTTGTCTCTCGAGAGAAAAACAATAGTATCCATTCCTTGTTTCCACATTATTGGAGGGTAACACTGGCACTTTTTCATCAGATTCCCCTAGAAACTTGTTGGGAAATTTTAATATAGTCTTACTTGTATCGGAATAAAGTTTATTTTATTTAGACAAACTATATGAAAGAAATAGGTGAAGGAGAAAATCGCGGATTGTCTTCTTTTCTTATTTAGACCTGTGCAACACACCGTTGGGAATGTCCAACTTCCAAATCCCAAGCCATAACCTACATGCTTCTAGAGACACAGCATACTGGGAGAGATGGAATGCTAGAATAAATGATAATGTCAGCGGATGGTGTGTGGGATATTCAACCGACCGAGAATGGTACCAGATCACGCTTGACGCTGAACATTACATTACTGCTGTTGCAAATCAAGGAACACACAGGGGGTTTGTGTATGAGTTCTCTCTGGCTTTCAGCCGAGGTCTTGGTTGGTTCGACTACAAGGAAAATGGAACTATCAAGGTATGAAATATTATGATCTCACTGACCGAGGCCGACTGTAATAAAATAGTGTACAGAAATTTTCGAGAAATTAAACAGGCCTCTTTTGTAATACTATGATATAGTGACTAGAATGGATACTCCAAAGTCAGGTTAACACCTCATATTTAGTAAAATGTTAAGTTGTGGTCTGGGTCTTGTTTCTATAGATAAGATTGAAGGCCCCACTTTTTTTAGGAAAGCTGTCCTGAAAGAGGGTCATCCCTTGACCGTGTTGCCCTGGATACGCGGATAAGCGAGCAAAAGTGTCGGCAGGGCTAAAAGGGTGACCCGGCCAGGCGGGTAATTCCTTTCCCTAGCCGAGTCAACGTTTTGTTTTTCATCAGCAAACAACAGCAACAACAAATTTATTGTACCCAAAGCAGAATATTATAGCAGTTTACAAGTTGTTAAATTAATCCGTTAACCAAAAAGGATACTGACTTCCTGAAGTAACTAATAAGTTAAAAATGCCAAGAAGCCAGAAAAAGATTCATACAGTTTGCAGGT